TTTTTTTTGTTATTATGGATGAATCTTTCTTCCATTTGTATTCCGTAACCAGCTTGTGCTGGTTATATGTCACTGAACAGAACCCCCACACCCTTTCAAATAGATGGAATTCTTTTAACTGGGGAAATGCTTTTCTAATGCCATTAGAGACAATGTTTAACAGGCGTCTTCGTTCCTTTAAGCCTGCGCTCAGGAAGGGTATGGTCATTTATTTACTCTATAATGTGAATTTAAGTAGCTGTGTTCTCCGTCCAAGTGTGTGCATGGAGGGCTTGTAAAGACATAGGAATTTGTGTTCCGTAATTTTCATGCTAACTGTATTTTCCTGGATTCTGTTTCTTTGAGAATTGTAGAGGTGCTGTCTCTGGAGGGCTCACATGGCAGTGTTGCCTGCATGGCGTGTTGCCTGGAGTGTCCTAGGCCCGGCCAGGCTGGTGGACAAACTGGCTGTCAGTCCGGAGAGTGGGCTCGCCTGGCCATGGACTCTCTTCTCTGCTTTGCTCCTTGGCCCTGAGGCCTGGGTGGGCACTGCGGGTGTTGAGAAGCCCGCCAGCTGGGGAGCCCCAGATAGCCCCAAATGGAAACATTCAAATGGAAAATGTGCCGTTGATCCCCACGCAGGTCAGTCCTATGAAATCCGACTGCTGGAGAACCGGAAGCTGGGAGACTTTCAAGATCTGAACACAAAGTATGTCAAGGTAAGCCTCGGGCTGCTCTGGCCGTGGGGGGCTTGGCTGGGGTCAGCGTACCTGGGCTTGCTGGGGAGTGGCTGGGAGGTGGGGGAAGGCTTCAGAGGGAGAGGCAGGGTTCGGCTCGGCCCTCATCAGTGAGAGGCAGCCCCTGTTCCCGTCTCTGGAGCATACCGTCCAGGTGGGCATTGGACCGAGAGCCAGAGTGGCCTGGGCGTGTGGGACAGGCTCTGGGTTGCACAGGCTCAGACTCAAGCCTGGCTTTGCCACTCACTGTACTTTTCTCAGCTTGGTTTGCTCATCTGCACAGAAGGGTTAATGAATTAGCAATGTCTGTAAAACGCTTACTCCTGGGGAAGCCGGTAGTCATCCCTGTTATTGTTGGTGGTGCTGCTGGGGTTCTGGGAGGCAGCAGTATGTGGAGCCCGAAAATGGGGATGGAAACTCCAGGAGGAGGGGCCTTGGCGAGTGGGCTCGAGGATGGAGGCGTGTTCCTCTTGGGCTCCTCGTGGCCTCATGCTCAGCTGTTCCCCCACTGGCCGTCCCTCCCCAGAGCATCATCCGCGTGGTTTTCCATGACCGCCGGCTGCAGTACACCGAGCACCAGCAGCTGGAGGGCTGGCGGTGGAGCCGGCCCGGAGACCGGATCCTGGACATTGGTGAGTCTCCTGGCCGGGCAAGGCCCCCAGGCCACGCTGGGCTCCTTGGACGCCATCTGAACCTATCACACTCCTGCCCTGTGGGAGCTGGCGGAGATGGCCTTGCCACTGGCGCCTGTCCTCAGGGAGCTCTGTCTGTCAGTGGGAAAGGCCTGTGGAGTTCAAAGACCTGCTGTCAGGCAGTTCCAGGAAGGCTGTGCGGAAGGATGGAGACAAAGGATTTTGATAAATGGTGAAAGGAAGCGTTAGCATCATAAAGATAGATGGGCAACAGAAATGGAATTGTGGGGGCCCAGGTACCAGCTCATTCATTTATCTATAGCCCTTGGGGTCAGATGGGTTTGGAATTCAGAGGCTAAACGACGCTAGGCACACATACGCATAGTGTCAGGGAACACCGCCAACCTGCAGTCAAGCCCAGCAACACTCCTGCAGTGAGGTAAAAATGACGTTCGCACAAAATGGGAAAAAGACCATTGAGAGCCTCATGGTGAGTCCTGTAGGGCTTTCTGCCAAATGAGTTACGCACAACTTGGTTTTCAGAGCTTTTGGCATTTCAGATTGGGGTGAAGGAATTTGGACCTGTGACAGGGGTCTTTCCCTAAATACTTGGGAGAGGCTAACAGTTGCCCTTTTGTGTGTGTGTGTGTATGCAGATATTCCACTGTCTGTTGGTATCTTGGACCCCAGGGCCAGCCCGACCCAGCTTAACGCAGTGGAATTTTTGTGGGACCCTGCCAAGAGAGCGTCTGCGTTCATTCAGGTAAGCGGGAGGAAGCTCGCCTTACGGGCAAGCTGGGCTTCGGGGTGTCCAGCTTGCAGTTTCTCAAAACTAACCCGTTCAAAAGGGCCTGACTGGGCTCCTGGTCCCTGTCTCAGGGAAGGAAACTGCAGAAGAGAGGGTGTGAGTGTGACTCAGAGTCACAGGGCTGCTTGTCCGTGGGGCTGGGGAAAGGACTTTGGAGGGTTTTAGAATTCTGTTTGGGTTTGGCTTACACAATATATAAGCTGGTTTTGTGTGTGTGTGTGTGTGTGTGTGTGTGTGTGTGTGTGTGTGTGTTTTAACACAGAATCTGGTTCTGTTGCCCCAGCTAGAGAACACTGGTACCATCATAGCTCACTACAACCTCAAAGTTCTGTGCTCAAGTGATCCTCCTGTCCCAGCCTCAGTAGCTGGGACTATAGGCTTGTGCCACGACACCTGGCTAATTTTTTAAATTTTTGGTAGAGATGGGGTCTCACTCTTGCTCAGGCTGGTCATGAACTTCTGGCCTCAAACCACTGCACCTGGTTATATAAGCTTTTAAAAAATAAGTTACTTCTTAGCATAAATAATTTGAAAGTAAAATTTTCCCCATGTTTTTCCAGTTTCTATTATTGAATGAATATTTTTGAGCCTCTTAGTTTTTCCCACCTATTTTATAAATCAGATAATGAATATGAAGCCATTAACACAGTGCCTGGTCCACCGGAATCACTCAAGAAAAGTTAGCAATCTTTTCATTTTACATAATTACAGCATTATGTATTGAATTATATTATTACAGCATTATAACAATAGGTATATTCTGAGTACCTTCCTTGTGGCAGGTACTTACCAGAAATACAGAAATCCTTCCAGTATTCTAGCTGTGCTTCCAGCCTGGGCCAAGTAACTGGGACACCAGGACATGAGAGAGTGGTCAGGGTGCCCCTGTGGCCCCTGCACTGACGTCTGTAGGACTCACGAGGGAGAGGTCTTGGGGTGCGGGGCGAGGGTGGGGCTGTTGGGGTGAGTGGCCTGGAGCAGTGGCGAGGACAGTAGGGGGACAGGGGTGGGGGAGCTGTCTCTTGGGCCGGGGAACGGGGAGGCCACGGGCCTGGGGAGTAGGTGGAGCGTCGGGGAGAGCGGGAGGTCGAGGCAGGCCTGCACCGACAAGGCAGGGCAGGACACCCGCGCGTGGAGAGGAGCCAACACAACTGCCCGTCTCTCTCCTAGGTGCACTGCATCAGCACGGAATTCACCCCCAGGAAGCATGGGGGCGAGAAGGGCGTGCCTTTCCGCGTGCAGATCGACACGTTTAAGCAGAACGAGAATGGAGAGTACACGGAGCACTTGCACTCGGCCAGCTGCCAGATCAAGGTGTTCAAGGTAGGACGGCCTCGCATGCGCCACCCGCCCCTCACCCGGCCTGCGGTCATACCACCCGCCGTGACCTTTGCGACTCCTCTCGGAGGCATGGCAGGGAGCACGGTGTCCCTTAGCACAGGGCTCCCCTGGACTTCTCGTGAGCACGAGCCGCGCGTCTGGGGGTGACGGCCTGCCCCTGCCCTGCTGGGGACGTCGTCTCACCTGAGGCACCTGCCCAGAGTTTGGCAGAGGCGTTGGCATCATGCTTGTCAGTCCTTGGCTCTACTTTGTAAGAATGATTGGATTTGTACATTTTGGGGGATTTTTATTTTTTCCGAGTACTTTATAATTGCCCACGGGTGCTCACATCCAGATTAAAAACCGAGTCAGGAGGCCCTCCGTGCTGGGGCCTGGCCCTGGGCCTTCCTGGTGAGGGCCTGTGCTCGTGTTCTCTCTGCAGCGGCTCCCTGTGGGAGCAGATTTCCAGGGGCACCTCCTCCCTTTTCCTTTCTTGCTTCACTCCCTGCAGTCACCTGATGCTGTTGTCCATCTCCTCAGTCTGGACGGATTATTTCCTGAAGATGGTGGCCCCGGGGAGAGGGGGAGGGCGCAGCAGAGCCAGCACCATTCTGAGGGCGTGAGAGCGGCCGCGCCCCCGCAGGCCCCGTCCCCGCAGGCCCCGCCAGCCTGCGCGACTCCAGCGGGCATCTGGAGAGGGACCGGGTCCACTTTTTGGCAGGGATCGCCTTGAGTGGCCAGCCCCAGTGCCTGTCCTGTCATCCCCTTCTTACACATTCAAGTGACTTGGAATCGGCTGGAAACGTTTCCTCGGCTGGCACTGGAGACCCCAGAGAAAGTCGCTTCAGATAGAGCCTTGCTAGAGGGAAAGCTGGGTGCGTGCTGATCACCCCCAGATTTCAGGCGCCGGCCTGCGTAAGGCCCAGGCTTGGGTTGGATGTGGAAACAAGAAGGGGAAGTTGACAGTGTCCGCGCGTGGGAGACCACACAGCCGGGCTGCTGGTGTCCTCTGCAGGGTAGGACCTGCTGCCCAAGGACCGTGGACAAAGGATTCTGAGGTCCTGGCCAGGCTCTGTGGATCGGGACGTCACTTAGTGACACGCCAACCGGGTGGGGAGGCAGAAGTGGTGGGAATGGGTCTTGCCTGCCAGAGCGGTAGCGCCTTCCGACACCCACTCTGGGGTTTCGAAGCAGTGGCAGGAATCTCTACTGCATTTGTGCTTTGTACCCTGTTGCCACTGTGACAGATGCCTGCAGATTTAGTGATGTAAAACCGCGCACATTTATCATCTCGAGGTCCTGGTGGGCACAAGTCTGAAATGGGTCTCGCTGGGCTGACAGTGTCAGTGGGGGGCTACATTCCTCCCCAGGGGCTTCCGGGGAGGCTGTGTTTCTTTGTCTTTTCTGGCTTCTAGAGGTCAGCCCGTTCCTTGGCTCAGGGACCCGTCCCCATCTTCAAAGCCAGCTGCGCCCTTCTCCTGTGGCCCGCCCTGACCCGCTCCCCTGCCCCCCTCTCTCTGTGATTACACTGGGCCCACCCGATAATCCAGGATAGGCTTTCTATTTTAATGGTGTCACTCAGCAATCTTAATTCCATCTGAAACCTTACTTCCCCATTTTCCATGTAAGGTTGTGTGCTGACAGGCCCTGGGCGTTAGGGCGTGGCCGTCTTTGGGGACCATTATTCTGCTGACCACGCCCACTCGTGTGGTAGGCTCTGTGGCCTCCGGCCTTTCTGCCCAATCTGGAATCCGGTGCTCTTGGTCCCCCGCCCCCGACATCTCCACGACTGCGCTGGTGGTCTCTGCTTGGCCTGTGGATCTTCCGTCGCTCTGGTCACCCCACTCCCCTGGTGCACAGACCACATCTGTGCTCCCTCCGGTGGCAGTTCACGTCCTCCCAGGGAGCCAGTTTCATTCTTCTGCTGTCACGGTGTGCGCTGTGGGAAAGAGGCGCCACGCTGGGCAGCAGGAGAGAGAGGAATGGGGGGTCTCTGCCCCATGGAGCGCCGTGTCCTTCCCGAGGCCCCTCTCCACACCTGTGTTGGATGCTCAGCAGGTAGGGTTGTGCCCACCAGGCTCCTCACACACCCCAGGCATTGCCTGGGGACTCGGACTGGAAGCTGCCTTGCCTGAGGGCCCTGGGAAGGCCCTGGCCTCTCCTGCCGGGGGCTGGGGTGCAGGAGCCCCTAGTCACCTGAAACTGACTGCTCAGGATGCCTGAGGAGGCGTGTCTACCCATCCACCCGCCCCATCCACAGGAGCAGATGAGACGGTTGTGCATGAGCCAGGCCGACTGAGCCAAACCGTCGGTCACCCTCCTTTGCTGGCCACTCCAGTCCCTGGGATCCCTGGCTTGCCGGGGTTGCACTCTGGGGCTCTGTGTGGGGTTCCAGAGTCTCTGCAAGGAAAGGCAGGCAGGCTCCTCTCTGACCCCAGGGCTCCCTGCAGGCCTGCATGGACTTGGCCTCTGGCTGTAACCCCACCTTTCCTGTAGCCCCTGGGCAGGGAGGAGGGGCCTCTCGAGGGACAGGAGCCAGAGGTGGAGTCAGGAGGCCAGGTCACATGTCCAAGGTCCCGGTGTCTACCCTGGCCCTGGCCTTACTCTCGCACTGAACAGTGGATCTGACGTTCCGTCTCCCTGTGAGCCCCTGAAGCTCTGCCTCCCTCCGGGGCAGGGACTGCCCTGAGGGACGGTCCCTGGGAACCCTTGAGCCGGGAGCCCAGGGCTGTATAGTCTGAGGAAAGTGCCGTTGAGTTTGCACTGCCTTTTTATTGCCCACCCCTCATGTGTGGTCGGTTCTAGAGCTGCTGGGAGTCTGTATCTGAGCTCGTCAGCTAGGCCATTTGCTCATTTGCTCACTCAGGAGATGACACAGTGAGGTCCAGAAGGTCCCCAGAATGGGGCCTGCGGGGCCAGCCCTTGGTGCTGCACACCTGGAACTCTTACCTGGGTCTTCTCCAGTCCTGTTGAATCGCTTCAGCCTCAGGTTCTCAGTCTAAACGAGGGGAACAGTAGTGGCTGTGAAGCCTGCACACCGTTTGTGAGTCGCTCAGGTTTGCAGGGCACCAGCATTGGTGGCCTCTCTCTCTGTACCTGGGCCGTGTGAGGACGGAGACACCACCTGCACAAGGAGTGTAAGCTGGGAGCTCGGCACGGGCCCTAAGAGCCGGGGCAGGGCTACCTTCAGCTCACGGCAGGATGTCTCAGCCTGCAGGTGTAGCCCAAACCCAACCAGCAGCCCCTACTGCTTCCTCTTCCCTCTGCTCTCCGTGGGTAGCCCAAGGAATGCGTCGTGGCTCCCAGTGTTGCTTGGCATAAGCAGGTGGCCATCAGTAAGGATCTTTTCCCAGCATTTCCACGTGAGCAGGCTCTGAATTCCTGGCAGGACCACGGGCTTGCAGCCCGGGAGGGAGAGGTGCAGTGCCGTCTGCGAGATCCCACCCGCGCTGCTGGGCCCTGGCGCAGGTAGAGAGCGTGCAGGCCTCGGGCCGCTGCTCAGGCTTCCTGTCGGGTCCTCCTCTGCAGCTGCTTTTGTCAACTTGGACTAATCGTACCCTGTGTTCTGCTCCTGCAGCCAAAGGGAGCCGACCGGAAACAGAAGACCGACCGCGAGAAGATGGAGAAAAGAACAGCCCAGGAAAAGGAGAAATACCAGCCGTCCTACGAAACCACCATCCTCACAGAGGTGAGCTGGCCACGTGCCGGGGACGGAGCTCCAGGGCCTTCCACCAGGGACAGGGCTGTTGGTTTGGATTCTTGGAAAGCTGCCCGTTTGGGGTGAGGCTTCTGAGCGCGCCCATCCAGTTGTGGCGGTTCCCAGCGTCTGGAGCTCGTGTTTTTCCCGGAGACTGGGGAGGTGTTTCAGAAATAACTTCGAGCCCTCCGCTGCTTTGGAATGCGTTTGTGCTTTTCAAAATTAGGTTATTTTTGTCTTTCTGAATAGGTAATATATTCATGTGGCTCAGAATTCATAAGGTGCAAGAAAGCATGCAGCAGAAATGTTCCTCGCAGCGCCGTCCTAACCTCGCAGTTTCTCCAAGGGCGGCCGGTGTCTCTGGCTCCTTGTGTGTCTGTCCCGACTGTCTCTGTGTACGAAGCCTGCTTTTGTGCACCAACCGTGTACATAGACACGTGGTTTTGCACCTTATCTCGGCATTCCTAAAAAGCATTCTACTTCCTTACCGGCTGCATAGCGTCCACGTGCGACGGCCTGTTGGTGGACGCGTGGTTGTTCCTGGGCTCTCGTGATTTCGGACATGGGCGCAGCGAATCGCTGTGCGTGTGGAGGTCTGTGCGTGGGAAGAATCTGCAGGTCTCCGTTCTCAGGGTGGGGTCGCTGGGTCTGGCCCCTGCTGTGTAGTTGTTTGAGTAGATGTTGGAACGCATTTTCTCTTAACCCACAGTGTCGCCAGCCTGCCCCAGCCTCCCGTGCCCAGGGCGACTGCGAGGCGCTCCCCATCACAGCTCCTCCTCTTCCCAACGTGGGTCGCGGCCGGCTGATGTTTTTGAGTGACTGTTCCCCACCGTGCTCTGCGTGGGGCCCACTGGTGGTGGTGGCATTTGTGCACTGAGTGATTGGGCTCACTCGGCGGCCGTGTGAGCACGGGGAAGGCCCCTGCTGGCCATGGTGGGGTGAGGCTGTGTCGGGGTGAGGCAGGCATGGGGCGTCTGAGAGAACAGCGGCCTGGGCTCAGCTGACGAGCTGCTGCGTGCAGGTGTGTGTGTGTGTGTGTGCGTGTGTGTGTGTACATACGTGTGCGTGTGTGTGTGTGTAATAAGCCATATACAGCCAGTATCAGAGCTAATTCTGTGGCTCAGACAGATGCGTGCTGCCTGACTGAGGATGCCTGCGGCCAGGGAGCCCTGGTGTGGGACAGCCCTGCCCCGCCCTCGGCCAGCGCAGGGTGGCAGGACGCGCAGGCCTGTGCTACGGATTAGAACCTGGAACAGCCCCTTCCCATGCCTAGTTCATGCTTGCACGGGTCACGTGTTCCCCCACCCAGTGACACCTTTGTCTTCTGGGATCGCCCTCAACCTCTCCATGCCTCTCCTAACTCCCCTGGAAGGAGAGTCCCGGCGAGCCTCATGCGGTGTCTGTCTGAGCCCTGGTCACAGCGCCGTGTAGTTGAGGACAACGCCACCACCCTGGCCGGGACCTTGCGAGGTGCCAGCCGCCCCTTCTGCCAGCGCACCAGCGCCCTACGCAGGCTGTGGGATTAGCGCCGGCACATTCCAGCCCACGCTCCCAGCACGGTTAATATTTACCAGCCCTGTGGTTGCGTGGGCGACAGTAAATCTTCAGGAATGCTTCCAGTCGGCCCTCTCTGAAGCGGCCTCACGGCAGGGCGGGAAGACGTGAATACCTTGTCCGCTGACGGCCGCAGCCGGCAAGCCCCGTGTGCCTGTGCTTTCTCTGGCGACTCCAGTGTGTTCTCATTTGCGGCGTCTGCACCAGAAGCTTTCTGAGGGCAAGGATCACGTCTGTCCTGTTCTGTGTCCTGTGGCCGCAGCAGGGTTCCCCCGTGTAACAAGCACACGCACGGTTCCTAGGGAAGCTGCTCTTGTGAATTGTGCGAGTCCTTCTACCCTGTCGGCAGGTTCTTTTTCCAAATAGCCCAGGGTGGTTCTTTTAGTTTTTATTTTATTGTTTTATTTTATTTTTTGAGAAGGGTCTTGCTGTGCTCCCCAGCCTGGGGTCCATCCCGTGCTTCCTGTAACACACATTTACACACATTTGTCTGTACCAAGAAAGGCTGCTTCTGAGCAACTAGCCTGTTTTGTTTTTTCCTCCCTTTTCTCGTGGACCCACAAATCACGTGAGAGACGTGTTTGGCACCTTGCTTACTGAATGTTAGGTGTCTTCTCTGCCATATTTGGTTTTCTCGTTGTGGCCCCGGTACCCTGCCTGGCTGTGCTTGCCGTGGGTGCCGGGTGACTCGTGCTGTCTGTTGGCAGGTCAGGGTCTCGGGTGCTGACGTCGGCGGGTGCTTGCGTGGGAGGGCCTGGGGAGCACGGTCAGTGCCTCTGCAGACCCCAGCTCATCTGAGGACCTTGTGCTCTCTTCACAGTGCTCTCCGTGGCCCGACATGGCCTACCAGGTGAACAGCGCCCCGTCCCCCAGCTACAATGGCTCTCCAAACAGCTTCAGCCTCGGGGAAGGGTACGTCCCGCCTTCGCCCTTTGGTTCCCTGGAATGAAGACAGTTTAGGTTCCGTTCTCGACTTTCTTCTCTGTGCCTTCTCTCCTTTCTGTTTGGCATCTGTTTGGGTCCCAGAGTGGCCAGCGGCTGTTGCAGTCACAACCACTTTTAGCATTTGCCCAGCTTTTTGTGCTTGGAAACACTTCTATAAACGTTGTGTGGTGGGACAGCAGCCCGGAACTTACCCAGTAAGACCGAGACTGGCCTGAGGGTGCTTCAGGACAGCCACCTAAGACTGCCCCGGGCACGCTCTGCTGCAGAACAGCTCTTCCCACAGCGGAGCCTTAGAGAACAGCTGCTGTGTGGCCCTGGTGGCTGGGGGTCTTCCCGGTTCTTTGTCCAGCTGCTGTGTAAATT